GGTAATTAATTTGTTCTTCAGCTGATGTACACAGTTTATAGTTTTTTTTGTATTTTTAAACCCAAACCACTAAAAAACCAACAAACGTTATTTTTTCATGAATAAACTNTCTAGAAGGTTAAAGTTCAGTTTTTAGATATTTTAAATATTAATATCTTATGAACTTAACCGATTAAAAATTTAATGACGTCACCATAAAGGTAATTAATTTGTTCTTCAGCTGATGTACACAGTTTATAGTTTTTTTTGTATTTTTAAACCCAAACCACTAAAAAACCAACAAACGTTATTTTTTCATGAATAAACTTTTTTTTTAAAAAACTGCATAATTAATGGTAAAGAAATTTATATTATTTAGAAAGTGCAAGTTATTATCTTTAATTCGATATTACATATTTTATCATGATCTACTTTTGGGTTTCAACAATTTAGTGATAATAAAAATACAAATAAAACTCTTATACATTCATTTTTTACCTGCGCCAAATAAATTTGGTATCGTTGAAATCAGCGTAAAAAGTTCTATCGATCGGCATTTTTGGTTATTTTATAGCTAAACGGTCGTATTCTACACTTGCTCTAGAAAATTAGGCAAACGAAGGTGATGCCAACGAATATTTAGTATGAAGAATTTTTGGTTTTACTACTAATATCACTGGCGAGAAGACTGTTTTATAACAAAACCTTTCTATTATTGAATCATGATCATGGTTTATATTGCTGGCAAACGTCAGATTGCCTCTCAATGGTTTTACCTTGTTATGTTTTTATCATGGTATCATGCGTCATATTTGAAAGCATAATTGCATTTTGATATTATTTCTTCTTTCATTTCTGGTATTCGCTTTTTAATACTGGCATTAACCCTTAATTTTGTTGCATACCTCTGTCCAATTTCGGCTTAGATCTTCATCCTTCCGGACTGAAAACATCAGTTCGGCAACGCTGTGTGTGTGCTTTTGCGCAAGCGGCAAGAATTTCTTGGCATTTTTTCTTTAGTTTTTTATTCAAGTCAAAAAAGTTCATAAGTTCTCACTCAAAAGGGTAATGGTTTTTCTCAATAACAACATTGGCCATCTTCACGATACCGTCTCATATGTCCATCCAGTTCCGCCCGCTGCGAATATGCTTGTCCGCAAATCTCACATTTGAATTTCTTCTCTTTTGGATGCATTAACTTATGATGATACAGTGGTTTTGCATGCGTTACTTCGTGCTGTCTGAGTGCCCATTTAGATTTGAAGGGTTTACAACATTCCTCACAATCGTATGGCCTTTCTCTTTTGTGCGAACGATAATGTACCCTAAGCATTTCAGGCACTCCACAAGAATAGCCACATATATCACAAATGAAGTTATTGGTTGCGAGGTGGGTTCGCTTATGAGCTTCATATTTTCGACGTTTAAAGAAACGTTTCGTGCAGTTTTCGTAATCGCAGGCAAATCTTCCCTCTGTTCCGTGCGTATGAGTTTCAATGTGTCTTAACTGATTTGTCCTTGACGTTAATCTCCTTTCACAAAACGTACATTTCATGCCACCATGATCTGTTAGGTAATGATCTTCCAATCTGCGCAATGTTTTAAATTTCTTTGGACATTGCTCACATTTTTGCATTTGTATAACTACAGTTTTTCCCCTTTCAAGATTATGTGATTTTTCTAAATGTAGGCGCAAAATCTGTTTGCCTTTGTAAGAACGAGAACACAGTTCACATTTGTATGTTTCAATTAGGCGACCATTAATTTGTTTACCCTGGAATGTGAAATCTAGCATGTATAGTATTTGCAAACAGCAATTTTTAAGAAAAATAGTATACCTTTTCTTGATTAGGAACTGGTGAGATCTCTTCATCCCAATCATGACTATCCTCCTCGTTAATGATACGCGATCCAGCATCGTATACTTTTTCTTGATGAGGAACTGGTGAGAAATCTTCATCCCAATCATGATTATCCTCCTCGTTAATGATGCTCAATCCAGCATCGTATACCGTTTTTTGACGAGGAACTGGTGAGAAATCTTCATCCCAATCATGATTATCTTCCGTTTTTTGGCGAGTAACTGGTGAGAAATCTTCATCCCAATCATGATTATCCTCCTCGTTAATGATGCGCAATCCAGCATCGTAAACCGTTTCTTGACGAGGAACTTGTGGGAAATTTTCCTCGCAATCTTGATTATCCTCCTCGTTAATGATGCGCAATCTAGCATCGTTCTCAGTATTAGATATGCCAAAGTCGGTAATTTCCATGAAGTCAGCGTCATAATTGTTGTCTTCAATTATAAGCTCATCTTTCACCATTGGTGCCGAGTAGGGTGCCACTTCGAGAAGGACTTCCTCCATCCGCAATAAATCATTGTCGAAGTGTACTTTCTTGCAGTGCATCAATAAGTCCTCATAGCGAAATGCCTTCAAACCGCAGAGCGAACAAACTATGGTAAATTCGGCGGAGCTGTGACAGTAGATTTCCCCACATTTTGCACTTGGGCGACCACCAAATGTGGTGCCGGGAAATAGTTTAAGCATGGCGAACTTAATTTAATTTTCAGTCCAGACATAAACAAATGCAATCATTTTTTCCCAAATACTTGGCATTATCGATGGTTTTAAAAAAACTATCGATAGTTATTTTACATAAGATCGTGTCAGACTTGGCAATATTTCCGACTTTTCCACGCAATNTAAAATTCTTTGCTTGAACGAGTCATGTTTGCATGGTATATGGCGAAATGGGAAAAGTAGGTTTGAAGAATGTTTGACAAGCCGCTTGTGTGGTCTTTATTTTACATAAGATCGTGTCAGACTTGGCAATATTTCCGACTTTTCCAGGCAATTCGCTGTCAAATTGAGAAAGGGAAATTTTTAGTTTGGAATAAACTAACTATCTCACTTGAGAGGAGTAACATTGTACTCTGATAGTTCCACAGGTTTTTGCCCGAAAAATACTGGAACAAACTCTTATTTCCATATGTGAACATTAACGAAGGAATTGGCACTTTTCGGAAATCAAATAACTCTTTAATGATTTTGTTTAGGTAGGGCACTTCGGCGCTAACGCTAGGCGTCAGAAACCGCTCGGCCCGACGCTTCATTCCCACGACAGCCGGTTCTACGTACCGGAATGACTCGGGTTTTACCCGACCAAGGGATGTTGTTTCGGCGNTTCGGCGACCATGCTTCGTCGGACCCGGAGCGATGCGCGAGCTATTTTAGCCGGCAGTTCATACTGCATCCTCCGGTGGACAAAACCAAGCGCCGAGTGACCAGAAGGTTGCACAAACTGCCAACAACCTGTGCCCCCCTTGATTTCACTTGCGGTGAAGTTCAGGTGGCCATCGGGAGGGCGAGTGCCTCCAAAGCCATGGGTCCCGACCGAATATGCATGCTGATGCTGAAAAATTTGGGTCCTGCGTGGAAAGCGTACCTAACGGAGGTCCTCAATTTGTCTATAGCCACTCTGATCATCCCAGACATCTAGAAGGTGGGGAGAGTGGTCCCACTACTCAAACCGGGGAAACCTGCCAACATAGGAGATTCTTATCCGCCGATAACACTCCTTTCCCCGGTAGCGAAGACACTCGAGGCCTTCCTGCTCCCGTATTTCACAAACCACTTGACCCCAGCGAAGCATCAGCATGGTTTCCGTAAAGTGCACAGTACAACAACAGCACTTAACGCCACTAACACTCAGATAACTCGTGGCCTTAACCGTAAACGTCCCTGTGAGAACGATTCTAGTAGCGTTGGACCTTGTCAAAGGCTTTTTACACTGTCAGCCATTCCACGCTACTAGAAGATATAGAGACTTCCTCTCTCCCACAGAGGCTCAAACGGTGGTGGTCGACACTGGTCGGTAATGTTTAGAGACAAATCAAGCAAACTTAGAAAAATAAAACAGGGGTTTCCACAGGGTGGTGTCCTTTCCCCGCTACTGTTTAACTTTTACATTTCAAAGCTCCCTCAACCACCAGAGGGAGTCGCGATTGTCTCTTACGCCGACGATTGCTCGATCATGGCGACTGGGAATGGAATTGATGACCTGTGTTCGAAAGTAAACGGTATCTCTCCGAACTTTCTCGCTTCTTCACTGCAGAGTGTCTAGCCCTCTCCCCTACGAAATCCTCTGCGACCCTGCTCACAACCTGGACGAAGGAGGTCAGGCTACCGCTGGGAATTCACGTCGATGACACACCAATTCCGACGGTGAATAATCCCAAAATACTCGGAGTAACATTTGACAGCCTGCTCTCCTTTTCTGTGCACGCAACCGCTATTGTCAATAAAGTACAGAGCCGCAACAAGGTGCAAGTCTCTAGCCGGCAGTACTTGGGGCAAAGACAAAGAAACGTTGCAGGCAACATACAAGGCAATAGGCCGGCCGGTATTAAACTATGCAGCACCAATGTGGCCGCCGGGGACTAGTAGGACACAGTGGATGAAGCTACAGACAGTACAAAACACAGCACTTAGGACAGCGGCCTCCTGATGTCACCAGAACACCACCTCCACGATGAGGCGAAAATGCTCCCAATCAGGGAGCACAACACGATGCTCTGCAAGCAGTTTCTGGTTGGGAGCCACAGATGTCATCCAAATAGACAGCTGCTTGCGGAGGAGCCCTCGCCAAGGCACGTCAAGAGGCATCTATATGAACTGACGGACGAAGTCCAGAGGTTCATTAAGCAGCCTCTGGACCCGTCAGCTTACAGACAGGCCCTGAACGGCATTCACAGGGACGTAGTCTCGAGTTATTCAGACTCTAGACCTGTGAATGCCGTTCTAGGCACACAAACACCGGACATTGACGCGACGGAGCTCCATCTGGCTACTGCAGCAGGCTAAACTCCTACCTGAGTAGGCTAAATGCGGATGTGCCGAATGAATGTCCGGTATGCGGAGAGACCTCTCATGACTCGAAACATCTCTTCGCATGCCCGGAAAACCCCACAGCCCTAACGGCGTCGTCCCTGTGGACCGACCCCAAAGGGGCTGCACGCTTCTTGGGGCTGCCGTTAGTGGAACTCGAAGCCGCTACAACAACACCAACGCTTTTGTTTAGGTATGGCAGTTAAATTGATGCCTAGTGGCATCCCCAACCTTCAAAACAAAAAAATATTATGCTTTTTTCTGTTATTTCCAACCCCATTTTCATGACATTTCAATTAGGAAATAGGAAACGTCAAATTGGTCATAATACCATGGATATCCATGACAATACGAAAATCGATATGTACTCATAAACATTCCTTCAGGCTGTTTGTAGATATTTTATTTTGCAGTTTTATACCATTAATTTATGTGTATATTCTCTATCTGTGTTTCATGAGGTGAAAGTGGCTTTCGTATACAATTTTGTACACTTGTTGTATTTGTCACAACATGCAAAACTCACAAAACAGCACAGGTAGACAAGCTAGACAACAGCAACAGCAGCCGTATCAGCAAGGACATTCTCATCATCACCACAACTCAGCAGAAAATAATAAATCACCATCATCTATACCGCCCAATTCGTTAGCGATATCCAAATCGTATGTGCCCGCACCGGCTTCCAGCACCTCTGATGATACTGACTTCCATGAATCGGATGCAAGGTATGAATGTGCTATCTGTATTCACTGGCTGAATGAGCCTGTCATCACCACTTGCGGTCATCGGTTTTGCAAATCTTGCCTCACAGAATGGCTAAACAATCACAATCAGTGTTGTCCGTTGGATAACACAAAGCTTTCTACCGAACACGATATCTTCCCGGACAACTTTACTAGACGCGAAATCGAACAACTTAAGCACAAGTGCCCCAATTCGCCACTGGGTTGCGCAGTGGTAGCCTCACCAATAGAAGTGGATCGTCATTTGCCAACTTGTCCCTACAGGAGGCTGGAGAACGCCGAGGAAAAATGCCCATTTGCAAGTGTAAAGTGCGACTTTGTCGGGCGGCCCGAAACAAATGCACTCGAAGAACATCTTAAAGAGGATATGCCGCACCACATGCAACTAATGTTGCAGGCATTCCAGCAAACAGCAGTTTCCACATGGAATCCACAGAAACTCCCATCGGCTATTGGTGGCAAGGTAAATGGCGTGCTACCACCACCTCCACCGCAATATGCAAATGAAGCTGACGAACAACTTATACAAACGATGTACCAACGTATTGTGGTACTAGAGCAGCGCGTAAGAGAACAGGATGTAAAGTTAGAAAATCTCACAAAGCAATTGGCCACACGTCAGCAAATCGATCCACGCTACAGCAATGGAACAATCGTCTGGGAAATAACAAATTTTCGTAACGTAGTGGAACAACTACGTGCCGATGCAAATAATTTACTTTATTCACGCGATTTTTATACCTCGCCGCATGGCTACCGTTTCTGTGCACGTCTTAACATACAGCCAAGACACGTCAATTTACTAAGTCTACATGTACATTTAATGCAATCGGAAAATGATTTTCATTTAGATTGGCCATTCAAAGGACGCATCAAACTATGCATGATACATCCTCACGATCCCAGTCTCTCGCAACATGACACTATTATGACAAAACCAGAAGTTATGGCCTTCCATAAACCACGGGAACGCATAAGCACACGTGGTTTTGGTTTCGTGGAATACGCTAAAATAGCGGATGTAATGCACAAAGGCTTCTGTGAGAATGATAAAGTGGTCATCAAAATACAAATAAATATAGTTTAAGGTCAGATAAGATCAAGTAGAAGAAAGCAGGGCTGGAGCGCAACAAGAGACGTAGGCAAGTATTTATGTATATTAAAAACTAAATAGATATGTATGTATCTATATACATACATGTACTGTTCCTCGACAGAGCTAATCAAAACAGTTTTGTTATAGAGGGAAGGGGGAATACATACATACATACATACATATGTAGATATCTACATGCATATGTAAAATTGTTACTAGGACTGAATATGCCTACGCAAATGCCAACGATGGTAACAAAACTCGCAGATAACTTTCATTATGATATACATACATACAAAGTAGTGAAAACTTTTAGCGGTATCCTGCTAAAAATTTTTGAGACGAGCTTATCCAAGTAATATACATTTAGAGTCAAAAGTTAGCATACACCTCGTTCTAATATAATATTCACAATATTTTGCATGATTTATTTTTTCATTAATTTTGTATTAAAATGCATTTTACATGTATACATGTATACATATGTATACATATCGACACCTTCAAACCGTACCATGCTAAGTCACCTTAAAGCATAAACAGACGGCAGCGTTGATCCGGATCAACTCGGGAATTAACTGCATTTGATCCGGATTAACTTGGATTAAGTCCGAGTTAATCCGGATCAACGCTGCCGTCTGTTTAAGCTTTTAGACTTAGACTTAGCACAGTATGGTTTGGAGGCTTCGATTATAACATACCATATAAATAAAAGTTTCACATTTGATATTTTACGAAAATTCAACAGATTTGCCAAAAATTGTCAACAAATTTTTAGTTTTTAAAACTTTAATCCGATTTTTTTTTTAATTTTCTCGTATGCTGTTTTGTAGCCGATAAAGGCCGGTCCACATAGAACTTTCGCGTTGGCTGTGGCGTTCGCGTGGGTTTGACAGAACCTGCACGACGAGGCAAAAATGCTCACTGTTAAGGAGCATAACACAATGCGCTGCAAGCAGT